GGGGGGCGGGGGGCGGGGGCATTTTTCGTTGTTGGGCTCCGACTCGTCCTCTTGGGGTTATTGATCTCTTCCCCGGGTCAGCACGCCTTGGATGATATCCAATATCTAATCCTCCAATTACTAGATCTACTAGGTTGTTAACTCTTTGATGCACTCCATGTTGTCGGTGTTTTTGTTGTGAGTTTCTTCTCCTTAAGCTGCTTCCCTTCTTATTTGTCACATAATCCACGCTTATCACAATGTTTAGAATGTTGAATCATGATTTGTTCGAGAATCACAGCCAAGGAATAGAACATAAGGAGGGAGAGAGATAAAGAGAATGGAGTGGACAATAATGAACGATAATTTGTCATAATAAATCAAGTCTTATTCATAAAGTGATTCTTTTATTTATAGAGGAAATAATAGAATATAAAGATTTTATATTTTTGTCACTGCTTTAAAATGGTTTGTATTGAGGTATTTCTTGTATTTTACATACATGAGTCTGTCGTCCAGCTATGTTTGACTTGATCGGCTGACTTTTGTCAGCTTTAGGTAGACAGGATCAGCTCAATCAGCTGAGATAATCTCAATCAACAGATCTTGGTCGATATGGGTCGGCCAGTTGATATGGCTCGACTGACGATCCTAGACATCCGATGAGGGCCTTTGGCATCCCTTAGGTAGTGGAAATACTAGTGAACCAAATCTCAAGAGGGAAAAAACGCAAGAAAATGCAGCTAGTCCCATGTAAACTGTACAGGAATGAGAAGGAACTAAGCAAGAACTAAATGGCTGTGAGGAATCCCAAAAAGGCAGTCCTTTTCTCTAATAACTGAATCATCAGCAAGTATTTGATTTCTAAGGCTCCTTGCTACCTTTTCTAGAAGCTCTCACGCTTCAACAAACAAGTAGAACCAAGTTGAAAACACCCACGAACCAATTCTTTTTATGTCTTCCTGCATTAGCAGCCTCCATCCGTGCTCAAAAACACCATTTTTTATCATTTCAAGCTTTAATCAAAAACCCTATTACCTACAGAAGCGCTCCCAGAAAAGCACCTTGTTTGACAACTAACAGCTACCACCCATTCAATTCTTCTTGATTATATGCCAAAAGATACAGACAAAATTATTGAAATCAAAAGCAGCCAATACAGTTAACAGCATTAAACTAACATCAAAAGGCTCAATTCAACCAACAAAAACAAAAAAAGAAAAAGTAACACTCACCTCCACGCCCTCCCTTTCCCTGAGAATCCCCCTCGCCGTCGCCCTCCAGACCAGACCATCCGGCAAATGGGTCGCGCAAACTGTTGCTGATGCTCCATGATTGTCCTTCCCTTCCGTCATTTCTGCTTCCACCATAAGCGTAGAGAACGGTCCGGCGTTGTGATAACCGGAATCGGATCTGAAGAAAGAAGGAAGAACTTTCGCGGTAACGACGGATGCTCCGCAGCTGGAGCGAGCCAGGGGACGAGGGACTGCCAAGTGACGCCATAGATTATATGGAGGAGAGCTCAGTCACAGATTCGCCGAGGTTTCTAGGGCTTTTTTCAGTAAGAGGAGAGCATTCAAGTGAAAAGATGAACCTTTTGAAGTTATCTTGGCATGGTAGAGAGTGGAGATGTGCCTGGCCACTGGTTATCTACAATACGGGTCGGGCTTTGGTGACGATGACCTGGACCAACCAGATCCGAACTTATATCCTTCTCTGTATGGAGCTAAAAGTCTTCATTGCTGTCCGCTGTGATTTCAGGTCAACCCTGGTGGATCAAAACAATTTTTTTTCCTTGTTGGGGTGCAAAGAGACAATTAAGTTAAAAATTTAAATGGCTAGGAATTGTGAATTTAAGGGTGTTAATTTTTGTTCTTTGAATCTAATTCAAGTTGAGTCGACTCAAAATTATTTATCAAAATCGATCAGAATATTAAATATGTCATAAAATCTAATCCGCACTCAACCTGACTTATTCGAACGAAATTTACACAACCCATTTAATATAAGAAATAAGAAACATTCGAGATAATTTTGAATTTACAGGTCAATTTTGAGTTGACATTTCATTTTGGAGTCAATTTTGAAAGTGCTGTCCAACCCAAACCTAACACAAAATTAAAAGGTTAAGAGATTCTTGACCCAAAAAGTAATTGAGCTTAATTTTTTTTATTTAGGTTAGCGGGCCAGGGTAATTTTTAACACTCTTGATTGCTATAGGAAATGAGGGAAAGAAGATGAAAGTGGTGATAGTGGGTGGTGTTTTATAGAGAATATATATTTAATGTTGACAAATAAATAAAATCGTCCTACTCAGCTCAAAATATTTTTTTTCCTATGTTTGTTACTTGTGATATATATATATATATATATATATATATATATATAGAGAGAGAGAGAGAGAGAGAGAGAGAGAGAGAGATCACAAAGGTGCTATGGATTTTATAGATAGCAATGTTTCGAGTGTTATTTCGGTAATTATCCCAAAAAAAAGGGGGTGAAATCTATAAAAGCTCTTTTTAGATAAATGGAAGGCTCTTCAATGAAGGCCATGAAATAAAGCTTCTGAATTATGAAGTTTTATTGGGAAAGAAAGATGCGAGATTTCCATCTCATATAAATCAGATTCTCTCTCTATCTCCATCCCTTCGAGAAAAGCGGCTTAATTAACTTCGGGAAAGTAATTAGCAATCGAGTGGTGGTGAACTGCTACGCATTAATTACCATCTAATATCTGTTTTAATCCATACACTTTCTGGGGAAGAACGCACGCAGAAAATTCTTGTGGATGCGGATGGAAGATAGGGATAGGTGCAGAGCATATCTGTCCTACGTATAAATGCTTTGAGCTTAATATGTGTTAGTTGATGGTGCTAGCAAAAGGGTGGATATTAAGTTTTGAGAGTGAAACATCTGCAAATGCCAGTTGATGGTGTTGGTGAAGATCAAGAGCAATGTCAATCAACCAAGAAGTTAGATGACATTAGTCGACAAACATTTAGTGTCGTACGTACGCTAACAGTAGTCTATGGATGGATGATTGGTGTTAAAAGTGTAACATGGTTTGTGATATGAGAATCACATGTAAAATATTTCACATAAAAAGAAGGAAAAAGATCAAAGAGGGAAATGACTGATGAGTCTTAGCTATAACGATACTAAAAACTTGGGAGAAGTTATCATGGGTCGTGTTTTAAACTACATATATTAATAAATAGATAAAATTAAATTATTCTAAATTAATTTATTTTATTATACTTGTTGTTTGTTTGAATTTAATTGCATAAAAGCCTCACACATACATAAAGAGAGATAAAGTGGCCAACACATATGGCCCAAATTTTATGACAGTAGAACAACAATTAGATGTTTTATCTAGTTGAAATATAGTCCCTAATATGAGTTTGAAAATACAAAGGCTCAACTTTCCTAGTAACAAAAAGAGGGAGTTTATAGTAATAACTTAGATTATTGGAGGTAATGTTTTAAGGTAGTGGTAGAAGCTATCAAGAATTGAAGACATTAATGAATGATAATAGTAATGATGTTTGCAAGGGACAAGGAGCATACCACAATGGTGTTAGCAAAATATCATCAATAGACATTAATTTATATGTATTGTTGAAGGGACGAGACGATGAAAGTTAGTTCACTGAAAAGTTTTATGATTTTAGTTTGCAAGCTTCCGGAGACATATAAGTTAAAAAATATTGTTTAAGAAACAACCAGCATCTATGATGTCAGGACATTCTTGCTTAAGCAATCGTGTAGTGTCAGGCATGTTTCAGACACGAACACACCCCGAACACACCCCTAAAATGTGTTGGACACAGCACCAATATGACCAATTTAAATAATATTAAAAAAAGATATGTGTGTTAGACACATGTCTTAAATTAGTAACATAAAAATAATAATTTAAATATTTTGTAAACTTAAATGATATATATTTTATAATTAAAATTAAAAATAATATAGGTTTCTATCTAAAGATTAAACTTATGTATTTTGTAATTGCATTTAGCGGATGCCGAATCAACCTTTCTATTTGCCACCCATTAGTCTCAGCCAAGCCCTAGCTTCCTCATCTGTATCCTCCTAGCCACCCATTATTCGCTCCACGTACATTAGCCATTCAATAGGATTTTGATTGAAATTTATACAAGTTTGGTAACCTTAAGCTACAGTTGAATGTTTTAAATCTGAACATTTGTTTTGACAACCACAAAAACTTGCATTTAGTTTATATATGCATCTTTTATGTGTGGTTTATATATTGGAATTTGATAGGTTTTATTAGGTATAATGTTCGAGCAAAGCACGCTTGTAATTTTATAAGATGTCTTTTAAGCACAAAAAATGTGGTCCTCTCTGAGCTCTTCTATTTCTATATCTTCCAAATAGTTGTATGTGAAACTTTACACATTTTTGCACATTATATGTTTGATTTCACAACTTAATTTGACATGATATCTAATGAGGATTTCCATGCATTAGTTGCAGGGAAGGAAGTATGACTTCTATATTGGTATGATAAGATATCACATTCCTTCTTTTTTATTCTTATTAAAAAGCTTTATGAATAAACACATGGTTAGTACTAATGAGAGAGCTAGAATGAATAATTTATTAAATGTTTGAGAGAAGAGAAAGGAATATTATGCCTATGTTGATTCAACTTGAAATTGCATTTAAGAAATGATATTATTTTTGGAAAATTCTTGGAGTATATGTCCTTTAGAGCAAAGAAATAACCACTTTCTAGTGGCGCAAATTTCAAATTCTTTTGAAATTTTGAAGAAATTAGTAGCCTGAGTTGTTCGGTTAGTCTAAAAACTAATTATGTTTGTATTAATTCAAGAATTTACACTTTTTAAAATTTTCAATTATTAAAGTTAAAATCAATTTATTTATAATACACTTTCATCCCAAGAGCATGTCATAGACCTTCATAGGTCGAATGAAAAACACGCCCGCGTACACATACACACCACTTTTTTATGTACTAAAAAGTGTGTGCACATGTCGCAGCTAGCGACCACAATGGTTTTACTTATCTTGAGCAATGAGTGCTTATCCTACAAATTTTCGATGTTCTATACTCGATTTTGACATTTTTTAAAGTTTATTTGATTATCTATAAATAAATTTTAAAAATTTTCATTTCTATTGAAAAGCCAACTTTTAGAATTTTTGAAATTATGATTGAGGAAATTTTACTTTGTCCACGGTCTCCATGAAAGATCCACATTGATATCCAGACAGCAGTCATATATTGTAAAAAAGTTATAGTTTTATACTTAAATCTTTTGAAAATATAATATAAAATATTATATATGTAT